CAAACTGTATCCTATTGGCAATCATCTTTTCGATAAGTTTACCAAAAGTGATGAGGAGTACGATTGGCCTGAAGGCCTTCGGCACGGAATAGGAGGGCTTGTTCGGCTTTGGAACGATAACCGATAGCGACTCCTTGAATATACGCGGCCAATGACCCACCCTAAGGCAAGCGTTGGCCAACACGATGAAGAGCGCAAGGACGTGTTTATCCTTGAGCAACTCCTTTAGGTGGACCCATGTGACGTGGTCCGGTCCTGGTGCAGAGGAGTTGGAGCACCCCTTAAGGGCACTCAACAACTCATGCTCTGAGAAGTCAGCCCACTCGCGGACCGGCTCGTCGGGAAGCTCGTCTAATACTGAGGCGTCGTACTCGCGACCAGAGGCCGAGTTGTACGTGCCGTGTAGGGTGTCCCAAAGGTCGTCCATATCGTGGCAGGGCTGGTCGCCATTGCGAATAGCCTCACAGGGTGGTAGCTTGCGCTGTTTGACCCATTCCATTAGGTCCCATGGGCGCTTGCGAGAGGTAGCGATTTCTGCGATGCGTTCATCGAAAAAATCACGCTTGGCGTCCTTACACGCCTTCTTAAACCTGTTGTAATCAGCGAGCGAGCGGCTCAACTGATATACTCTGAATGTCTCTGAGCACTCGTCCGTCCACCAGGACTTGGAGCGCTTGGTAGGTTTGGACTCGGTCGAGTGGGCAAACCACGCGTCCGAGAATGCTGTCGCAATAGCATCAGCTAGAGCTTCAACACCTTCCTTGGTTGCTGGGGCTGCGACAGGAATAGCCGCAAGATCCCGTAGAATATCCGAAATGAAAGACTTCTCAGCCTCACTTCCGGGTTTAATTACCCGTCGCCCAGATCCGGGCGGTTTGGGACCGATATCAAGATCTGTACAGATCGGGACATGATCTGATGGACCCTGGAGAACGTGCTCCAATCTGGGCATCGAGATGAGGATCTCAGATGGAGCTAAGAATACAAGATCCAAGACATTGGATCTCTGGTTTGGGTTAGGACTGATCCTTGTCGGTCCATGGTTAGTAGGTCGTGCCCACTCGAGGCCGATCTGAGATGCGGTATCCCGCAGTGATATTGCTGTCGACGACTCGCCATGCTCATAGTCATCCCAAGTCGTCGACATGCAGTTAAAGTCACCAGCCATATAAACGAAAGGTGGTAGAGAATGCACACGAGTAGCGAGGTGCTCAATGGCTGTATGTTGGTCGTCGGAGTAGACGTTCATTAGATTAAGAACCTCACCCCCGCTGAAGAGGGAGAGGACGAGGATATCGCGATGGTCGACGATGTCGCGACGCATAGCGGGACGATAGCGGGATAGCCTAGTCGAAACATAGGCGATCACGCGGGGAACTTCCCCTTCCTTAATGCGCACCATTTGCAGCCAATCAGGATGCTTTGGTGCGCCGATAACCTCATCGCCCTCCATAGTAGTGGTGGACGGTGCGTGCCTTATGAAATTCCAAGGGGTTTCTTGGAAAAATAGAATATCAAATCTGTTTTTACAAATTTCGAGAAGAGTGTCTACATGTGCATATGTGTGATGAATGTTCTGACAAAAAATACAAAGTCCACTACTTAGATCCTGTAGGTTTCCCAACATTAGTCTAGGTTTGGGGGTTAGTAAGTTGGCGGCGAGCAGCATGCTCACGTACCTGACGATACTCGGCCATGATCCACTCACGGTCGTAGCGATGGGCCCAGAACTTACACGAGGCCGAGTTGGCGGTGTGGTCCTTGTGGCAATTGACGCAGCGGCCCTTGTGGGGGCAGGGCTGGTCGCGAATGGTGGGCGGCACAGGAGGCTTCGCTTTCGCATTGCCCTTGCAACATCCCGCATGCTGACGATGCTCCTTCTGCTCGTGCGGACCCGAACAGATGGGGCAAGATAGTTGTTTCGCCTTGCAGGCGACGGTGGGGTGGCCCCACTTCCAGCAGCGCTGGCAGAGCGGGACCCCGGTGTGACGTGCGGCGGGCCTGATAGCACAGGACCGTCCAGCGAGGAAGATCGGTTGGCCAAGGGCCTTCTTGGCGCAGGTTCCCTGCTGGGAGTCCCAGATGTTGCAATACACGGTACACGATGTCGAGTGCGCCGAGTTGCGGTCGATCCGAGGCTTGGTGCTCAGATATGCAAAGACCTCAGCGTGAACCGAGGTACGGAGGGCCTTTTCAAGCGCCTCCTGGGTAATCTTCAACCCTTTCGGATCGAAGTAGGGAACGTCGAGGATCTTTATGAAAGACGTCGATGATGGGAGCGCAACCTCGAACGGGGTACCCATTGGGAGGCTTTCGCGGATAAAGTTACGCAGGATGTCCAGATCGGACGGACTGGCAACAGCAGGGGTGACCAACGACAAACCGTCGTAGGCGCAAACGATGGAGGTGACCTTAAGCATAGATCGACCATCCCTGAGGTACCCGTTGGCTGCACGGACAGCCGACTCGGTGAAGAATTTCGTGAGGTTGGGAGGGGTACCCCCGAACGACACAAGAACCTGCTTCCGGGTGGGGCCCTCGGAAGTAAAAGAAGGAACGGACCGATGAGGTGAAGTCTTCATCGGACCCGTTGGGAATGAGGGGGGAGGGGAAGGCCCACGCCGTTGCGGTCCCAAGCCAGGAGGCGGGGGAGGCATCAGAGCGGCCTGTTTGGCAATCCCTGCCCACGTCGTTGGACGGGGCTTGGGTTTGGTGGCGCGATTGATCGGCGGAGGCGGACCAGGGCGAGAGTAGGCCACCTTGCTCTTCTTCTGAGGAGGAGGTGGGACCGGGCGATCAACACCCTTGCGCTTCTTAGAAGCGGGGATGCGAGGAGGGGAGGCCGGACGACCAAGGTCGTCCAAAGCCTGCATGAGGACGTCGGGCGGGGCCCCTACGCCAGCGACACCCTCGTCGAGCGGCCCACGGGCAGCAGGAGGAGGAGGCCTGAATACGGGAGCCGGGTGGATGGTCGGCTCGTCCTTGGAAGACGTCTCAGCCTCGAGGAGAGAGGCGAGCGAGAAGTTGTCGAGTTCGCCTGGTCCGCGAATACGACTAAAGTCGGTGGCCATGACGGCGTTCACAAAGGACGTCATCTGGGCCACGAAGGCATCGCCCCCATCAATGGTGAGCGGATTGTGGTGCGCGGCCCGCAGAACCCAGTCTGTGGCCTTCGCAATGGAGGTGGTCAATACCTCGAGATCACCAGGAAGATCCTCGACAGTGTCTCGGAACTTCAAGGTGTATTGACCTAAGAGAAGGTCGACGGAGGGGTCCCTCGAGACCTCCTCCCCTCCCTGAGTGCCCTCTACCTCCATCTCCTGGGGGTGGGCCGTCCCTGAGTCAGACTCATCTGCAGACGAATGGGTAGAGCCCGTGGTGGAACGGGACCTGCGGTGGGGCGACGTGTGGCGAGATCGAGCTGGCACGACTGTCGAGTATGTGGCCCTAGTCGAGGTAGGGTCTGGCAAGATTGGCGAGGCATCACTGCCAAAGGACGATGAGCCAGCGACCGATGGTGGTATTGCTGGTGGTGCGGAGCCCGAGTCCCCCCCACGACGGCTCCTAGGAACCGCCCCGGGGGGCCTCGCGCCCCGACCTCTCGGTGGGAGGTCGGACATGGTTTGCTGATGCGGTACGAACGATCAAAAGGAATCTTCTGGCCTGTCGATAAAGCGCTAGATGATGTGCGAGACGGTGAGCTGGTTGTTTGCGCTTGTTGACAAGTGGGCGTTCGAGAGAAACAGGGATGGCTGGCAAGGGCTTCAAGACCGCCTGTGGGAGAGGTGCGGAAGGCACCCGTGATCCATAGAGCAGCTTTTTGCTGCATCTGTTTCAACTGGTTCATGGCTCCCTTATTGCGGGCGCCATCGAAATACCAGAGACGATAAGCATATGTGGCAATGGGAACCACACACGATCGATACAAGAGGCGGCACTGTTTAGGTGAGAGACCCCTGGTAGAGTTTCCGAGCATGCGCATGGCCTGCACGGTGGTGAACGCCTTAGTGGCATAGTAGCGGACGTGCTCATGAAACGTGAGCCCGCGGTCAAAGTAGAAGCCCAGGTACCTCCAGTAGGTCTTGGGCTTCAAAGGTGTAGCGCCGGTATGCGGGGCGTACCCCAAATCCAGCGAGGGATTGTAAGCGTCTCGTCGACGCGAAAAGTGAAACAGCTCGGTCTTGTCGTGTTCAAGAACAAGTGTGAAGGCAACAAAGAGAAGGTAGATAATTTTGTAGGCCTTACGCAGGCCCACATTATTGTCATCGAGTTGTTTGGATTGGGCCAGAATGGTCCCGTCATCCACAAAGGAAAGCAGCGTTGTGTTGAGCGGCGCCGCTTTGATATAGAAGAGCTTCATTACCGGAGCAATGAACAGCCCAGAGATAACAGGTGAGAGAGTGGAGCCCTGCCCGACACCCACATCCGCAGACCGTGAGTCGGATTGGAAGGTGTTCCAGCAGTAGACTGTGGAACAACCGACAAGATACGAGGCAAAGAACTCCACCAGAACCGGTGAGAACCCTTGCTTGCGAAGTACAGCCATGAACATTTCATGGTTGATAGAAGGGAAGAACTGCGCGATGTCAAAAGCCAGCGCGCTAGTCTGGAGACCCTTAACCCACCCCGCTCGCATGAGATGAGTCAGAATCAATCCAGCATCCTCAGTTGACCGCTGGCAGATGCCGCCAAGTTGGTTAGGGTGGAAGATATCATGCTTGACGGTGTCAAACTGTATCCTATTGGCAATCATCTTTTCGATAAGTTTACCGAAAGTGATGAGGAGTACGATCGGCCGGAAAGCCTTCGGCACAGCGTAGGAGGGCTTACTCAGTTTCGGAACAATAACCGATAGTGACTCCTTAAATATACGCGGCCAATGACCCACCCGAAGGCAAGCGTTGGCCAACACGATGAAGAGCGCAAGGACGTGTTTATCCTTGAGCAGCTCCTTTAGGTGGACCCACGTAACATGGTCCGGTCCTGGTGCAGAGGAGTTAGAACACCCCTCAAGGGCACTCAACAACTCATGCTCCGAGAAGTCAGCCCACTCACGGACCGGCTCGTCGGGAAGCTTGTCTAAGACTGAGGCATCGTACTCGCGACCAGAGGCCAAGTTGTATGTGCCATGCAGGGTGTCCCAGAGGTCGTCCATATCATGGCAAGGCTGATGGCCATGGCGAATAGCCTCACAGGGTAGTAGCTTGCGCTGTTTGACCCATTCCATTAGGTCCCATGGGCGCTTGCGAGAAGTAGCAATTTCTGCGATGCGTTCATCAAAGAAATCATGCTTGGCATCTTTATACGCCTTCTTAAACTTGTTGTAGTCAGTGAGCAAGCGGCTCAACTGATATACTCTGAATGTCTCTGAGCACTCGTCCGTCCACCAGGACTTGGAGTGCTTGGTAGGTTTGGACTTGGTCGAATGGGCAAGCCACGTGTCCGAGAACGCTGTCGCGATAGCATCGGCTAAACCTTCAACGCCTTCCTTGGTTGCCGGGGCTGCGACAGGAATAGTCGCAAGATCCTGGAGAATATCCGAAATGAAAGACTTTTCAGCCTCGCTTCCAGGTTTAATTGCCCGTAGCCCAGATCCGGGCGGTTCGGGACCAATATCAAGATCTGTACAGATCGGGACATGATCTGATGGACCCTGGAGAACGTGCTCCAATCTGGGCATCGAGATTAGAATCTCAGATGGAGCTAAGAATACAAGATCCAACACGTTGGATCTCTGGTTTGGATTAGGACTGATCCTCGTCGGTCCATGGTTAGAAGGTCATGCCCACTCGAGGCCGATCTGAGATGCGGTGTCCCACAGGGATATTGCCGTCAACGACTCGCCATGCTCATAGTCATCCCAAGTCGTTGACACGCAGTTGAAGTCACCAGCCATATAAATGAAAGGTGGTAAAGAATGCACACGAGCAGCAAGGTGCTCAATGGCTGTGTGTTGATCGTCGGAATAGACGTTCATTAAGTTAAGAACCTCGCCCCCGCTGAAGAGGGAGAGGACGAGGATGTCGCAATGGTCGACGATATCGCGGCGCATAGCGGGACGATAGCGGGAGAGCCTAGTCGAAACATAGGCGATCACGTGGGGAACTTCCCCTTCCTTAATGCGCACCATCTGCAGCCATTCAGGATGCTTTGGTGCGCCGATAACCTCATCACCCTCCATAGTCGTGGTGGACGGTGCGTGCCTTATGAAATTCCAAGGTGTTTCTTGGAGAAATAAAATATCAAATTTGGTTTTACAACTTTCGAGGAGCGTATCGACGTGGGCATAGGTATGACGAACGTTCTGACAATAAATACGTAACCCACTACTTAGATCCTGAAGGTTTCCCAACATTAGTCTAGGTTTGGGGGTTAGTAAGTTGGCGGCGAGCAGCATGCTCACGTACCTGACGATACTCGGCCATGATCCACTCACGGTCGTAGCGGTGGGCCCAGAACTTGCACGAAGCCGAATTGGCGGCGTCGTCCTTATGGCAGTTGACACAGCGGCCCTTGTGGTTAAACTAATAGAACCTTGTTCACTTACCACTAAAGCTTTTTCTACTCCTATTTTTGGGGGCAGGGCTGGTTGCGAGGGGTGGGTGGCACAGGGGGCTTCGCTTTCGCGTTGCCCTTGCAACATCCCGCATGTTGACGGTGCTCCTTCTGCTTGTGCGGACCCGAGCAGATGGGGCAGGAGAGTTGTTTCGCCTTACAGGCGACGGTGGGGTGGCCCCACTTCCAGCAACGCTGGCAAAGCGGGACCCCGGTGTGACGTGCAGCGGGCCTGATTGCGCAGGACCGCCCAGCGAGGAAGATTGGTTGGCCTAAGGCCTTCTTGGCGTGGGTTCCCTGCTGGGAGTCCCAGATGTTGCAATACACGGTGCACGATGTCGAGTGCGCCGAGTTGCGGTCAATCTGAGGCTTGGTGCTCAGATAGGTGAAGACCTCAGCATGAACCGAGGTACGGAGCGCCTTCTCAAGCGCCTCCTGGGTGATCTTCAACCCTTTCGGATCGAAGTAAGGAACATCAAGTATCTTTATAAAAGATGTCGACAATGGGAGTGCGACCTCGAACGGGACAAGCTAGAGTTTTCATCCATGCTGAAGCATGCATAGCTGACTCATCCACAAAGACTGGATGAGTTTGACGAGCGTGGAGATTAAGAAGCTCTGGATTGTTGACCAATGAGAATAAAATGAGTAGTGTTGATTTTAGAGAAATGTTGGAGTTGAAGTTGCCTAGTATGAAATCACTAAAGCTTTTGAAGGATGGATTGGGAAAGGGTAGAATAGAAGGATCCTGAGCAGATGATAGAGGGAGCCAAGCCAGAGCACAGAGAAGCCACAGAACCCAGAACCAGAAAGACGTCTGAGATCTAAATTCAAACCCCCCCCAAAAAAAGCAGACAGAAATAAATATTTGAATTTCCAAGTACAACTTTAAGGAAATGAACTTTACGTGGTCCTCAATGCAGCTGCCTTCTTCTTGGATTTCTTCACCTCTACACCACTCGCCTTTGGAGTCCCTTTTGCACGTTTCTTGGTGGCCACAGGTTCTGGCTCTTGCTCCTCTTCACCTTTAAAAATCGGCTCTCCTTCATTCTCCACCCACTTGATCAAGTCTGTCAAAGAATACTTGACCCGATCCTCACCCCAGACTCGCTCATTCTCTTCTGCATCTGCACCTTCCTCATCCAACCAATCCTTCATCTCCTCAAAGGACTTTGCGACCGTTCTGAAAACCTTCTGATAAGAGTTGTACTGTGTCTTTTGAACAAAAAGATCCTGAAGATCCTTCTGGGTGGGTCTCTTAGAGAGTTCCAACTCCTTGACTCTCAACGCTGATGACTCGACAAAGTTGAAAATTCTCCATGCTTTGCGCAAGTCAAAGTCGCTTGGAGAACCCTTCTTTCCACTCTGAAGGAGAGCCCGATCAACCTCCAACTTGTTGATGAGCTCCTCCTCATAGACAGAGAAACTAGATGCCAGAGGGCTAGAAGGACGAGAGACATTACCAGCAATCGAGCTTGAAACCGAGGGGCTACGTGATGTACTGCCTCGACCAAGAAGATCAAGACGGTTGATTGACACGTCAAGAGCCTGAAGAATGATCAGTTATAATTCTTAAAGCTAATATAGACACGTTACCGCTAGCAGACTAATCCCAAGTCCACCCTCCTCTAGCTCCCTCGGTTCAATGATGTCAGTGCTGATAATAGCCTGCTTGAATGGGCCATAAGCCTCCCAACCATATTTATCATCCCAGATAAACACACGATCATCTGTTAAGTATAGTAGTTAGATTAAGAATGACAAGAATAGAACAAATAAATATTACTTTGAATGTGTTCATCACAGTCTCGAACCTTCTCCAGGATCTTGCCTAGTGTCAGGTTTAAATTGACCTTGATGAACCAAGAGGGAGAGATGTTCTTGATACTCTGGGGCTGGGGAGTGTCCCGCTGGTGGTAGACATAGATGATGCCAGGACAAGGGGGTGCAGTGACAGCGAGTACATCAGTTTGAGCCAGGCCAGATGAACCACCCATATCTGCAAGATTGGGGGCATTACCCAGTGCATTTCCTCGGCTAAAGCCTCCAACTGCACGTGAAGACCCCATTGGCAGAATATTGGCTGAAAAAGAACAGGTTTGAAACAGAAAAAATAAAGATCAATAAATAAGCTTACCAACTGCTTGAGAAATGATAGGCTCAGGCCTGGGCTTGGACTTGGACTTGGACTTGGACTTGGGCACAGCTGGTCCCTTTCCTATGTATGAAGTAAACTATTAATATATTATAATGAGACATTGAGAGCACTGTGACTATACCTTTGTCCACTGGCTTAGCTGGGGCTTTAGCTTTCTTCTTCTGCTTTTCCTGAACCCCCTCCTGATGATCAACATCCATCCCAGAATCAGATGAATCATCATTTGTATGACTTATCATCCTAGGCTTGGGGTGACAAGAAGGAGCTGTAGATGCTCCAGAACACTCAAGAATGGCCTCAACACTATAAAGGAATGATTAGTTTGATAAAGAATATAAAGAAAGCACTTACAGTGGGAGCTTAGCTGGATCCTCAGCAGCTTCGACCTCAATGTTCTTGTCTTCAGAGGTACATCTACAATCTGGTCAATAAAAGTATCATTAGAGAATGGAGAAACCATACCTAGATGCTTTCAAGACCTGACCATAAGACCTAAAGTCTATTAGATATAAGTTGAAATTAAAATATAAATGCTACTTACTCAGGGTTTGGAGCTTTGGAGACAGGTTTAGCAGAGACTTTGGACCTCAGACCAGCAGAGGTGGCAGCAGTCTTGGGCTTGATCTTCTGGGAACTTGGCTCCTCTAATAATAGAACAAATAAAAAGGAATAACAAGAAATATTACAAATTGAACTTACGATATCCTCCAAGGTCATTCTCATTGTCCTCCTCCTCCTCATCATCCTCATAGATGACTATCACCTTCTTCTTCTTAGCTGGGGTCTCTTCTTCATCATAGTAGTCATCCTCCTCATCAAGCTCAACGTTGTCCATCAACTGTTCCATCTCCTGGTCAGAGTCATCTGAGGTTGGCCGGCTACGCTTAGGATCATGCTGTCCAGGAGGGGACTCGGAAGCATCACGCTTGGTGGCAGTGAATGGTTCAGGTGTACGAGCCATGGTTGAATTGTATCTTCAAATAATAAATACAAGTTAGCTTTGGACTTAGAATAAATTTCACACAAGTTTTTTTTTGGCCAAAAAAAAATTGTATTATTGTCTATCTACAAAATGTATATGCTTACTTAAACTAAACACAGAGGGCAATTGTCATTATACATGTTGGGGAAGAGGGGGGCAAGGTGTGGCACACAGTTCAGGTCCAGGTCCAGGCGGTTGAGGGGGCGTGATGCGGGGTGTTGGGGGAGTGGGGTTGGGTACAAGAGAAGGGGAGGGCAGAGGGATGGATGGGGCAACAGTCAGCATGCAGTTTTGGGATGGCTGGGGGGTGTGGGGCTTACCTGTGGGTTGGGGGCATCCGTGCACGTCATTGGCAGACATGGGCGTTGGGCACAGAGTTGGGTGGTGATGGCGGTGTTGTTGTGGGTAAGGGGTTGGTGTGTGTTCGGTGGTGAACATGTGCATTGAGGGCAGCATCGGGCGGTGGCAGCAGCGTTGTCACGGGTAAGGGGGTTGGCACATGTTCAGTGGTGGACGTGTGCGTTGGGCGGCGTTGTCGTGGGTCAGTACACGTTCGGTGGTGGACATGTGCGTTGGGTGCAGTGTGGGGCGTGGACATCGTGGATGTTGTTGGCAGACGTGGGTGGGTAGTCTGTGCACATTCGGTGGTGGACGGAGGCACCAGCATTGGCGAGGTGGTCCATGCACGGTTGGGGCACGACAAGCAGCGAGAGCAGGGTGGGGGCGCTGGCCTTCGTGTTGGCGAGGTGGTCCGTGCACGGTTGGGGCACAACAAGCGGCAAGAGCAGGGTGGGGGCACCGGTGTTCGCGTTTGCAAGGTGGTCCGTGCACGATTGACGGTGGACGTGGCGATTTGCCGTCGTCATCGTCATCGTTGTCGTTGTCACGTTTGGGTTCGTGTTCGGGAGCAGGGTGGGGGTGCCGGCGTTCACGTTGGTGAGGTGGTCCATGCACGGTTGACGGTGGACGTGGCGATTCGCCGTCGTCATTGTCATTGTCATTGTTGTTGTTGTTGTTGTTGTTGTCGTCATCGTTGTTGTTGTCACGTTCGGATTTGTGTTCGGTTTGTGTTTGTGTTTGTGTTTGTGTTTGTATTTGTGTTCAGGTTCGGTGTTGTTGTTGTTGTTGTTGTTGTTGTTGTTGTTGTCGGCATTGCGTGGGGCAGGAGTGAAGGGGAGGGGGCGGGGCCTGGTCAGCGTTCGTGGGGCGCGAAACGGATTGGGGGGCTTACCTGGTGTATTGGGTGATGGTGGTGGTACGAGATCAAGAGGTAAACATGGGAATGCGATCAGTAAATAAATTTCAATCTCCGCTTGAAAATAAAACAAACCAGACGTACTGGTTATATCTGGATAGCTGCATAGATATATATTTACTAAATATCTATACACTATCATAGGCTTAATGGCTCAATGGTTGACTGTGCATGGTACTATAGTCATGTAATGCTTGTGACTGGTTCAATTCTTGCTGGTGCATTTTTTAAAACTGTTTTTTTCTGTGGTAAAAAAAATAGATAAAAATATGGAAAAATATGGAAAAAATCAAGCCTTTTTGGGGCATCCACTGGACTCCGGTGGAGTGCCAGTGGAGTCCAGTGGAGTCCTATATTCACATAGTAAACATGCTATACTATATATAACTGTAATATTTAATTACACTGGACTCCACTGGACTCCACTGGCACTCCACTGGAGTCCAGTCCTACAAAATTTGAACCTATTTAGGCCATCCACTCCAGTGGAATATGAGTGGACTCCAGTCAAGTTTTCTGTGCGGGTTCACTGGAGTCCACTGGAGTTCTATAGGAGTCCAGTGGATGATGGACACTCCACTCCGGTACACTCCAGTGAACTCCAGTAGACTTTGGGTGGTGACTCCAGTGGACTCCAGTAGGCACTTTTCGCTGGTGTTCCTGCTAACATATTTCCTACCGGAGTCCACTGGAGTCCAGTGGAGTCCTATAGGGATACATGGGGGACCATAAAGACCTCCTCAAGAAGCTCATAACCAGGATCTGACAACTTTGCAGAGTGCCATCTTTATGAACGCCCATCCCTATTTTCCACTGGCTGAAGCACAAAATCTGGGAGCAGATAGAATGCAGGAAGAGATTCTTGACATAGCTTGGCTGTACTATGGATTTGTTCCACCACTTCTATCAACAAATTCTTCTCCATCTGGTCTGTGGTCAGAGAATAAGAAAAAGGAGTTTCTTCAGATGATTGGCATGTGCTACAACGATACTCAACACATCAACTTTGTGAACCAGCAGGTTCTTGAGGTGGATAACTTCATTCAACAACTTCTCAGAAATGAACAACCCAATGATGACATCTGGGATGGAGGTCTATCGAACCGCCGGTCTTTACTTGCTCATCCTTGGCTTAAGTTGGTTGTGAAGGCCTATTACAAGTTTGTCAACAACGAAAACAAACTTCAGCAACATCCGCTCTATATGTTCAATTTTGAATCAGAGTGTACAGTGCCATGGAACATAGCTGTATATTCTGCCTCCACCATTCTCGTTATCTGTCAACTTGATCAAGTTTTCAAAGACAAGGACATCGTTCGCTTTCTTCTTTTTTTTTTTTTTTTTTTTTTTTATCAACAATTTATATAGCGGTGCTCGATGGCAGGCTGCTTGCTATCTACAAACACATACACTACGCGGCCTGGGTACTAAGTAAACTACTAAAAGACGTCCACCTCCCCAACCATGAGCCTTATGGCTCAAACACCTAAACTCCCATAAAGCCAGACCCACCTTGCGAAAACGGTGACGCGGGATAAGGGGAGGAGACCATCAAGGCCCCGCAAAACCCCAGAGCCGTCGGACGCTGTTCGGAGGCCACGCAGCGCAAATGAAAATAAGAGAGCACCACCTGGGAGGTGGCAGGGTGTCTTGAGGCCGACAAGCCAGAGATGCGCCTGCCCGAAACCAGACGCAGAGAGTTAGCGGCGCCGCAACGCACTACAATAGCGGCCGCAAGCGCGAAGAAATAGCAGCGGGCGCAGGTCTTTGAACCCTAGAGCTCGGTGGTGTCAATTCACCATAAATCCCCCAAAAGGAGGAACAACCCTGCCCACAACGATTATCCAACACCTGAAGGGTCCCGGTTGAAGCCAAACGCTGTGGGGTTGTACTTCATAAAAGATGCAATATCCCCAAGAAAGCGGGGGTAATGCACGGAATAGTGATCGTGGCAGCGAAAGAGGACGTGCTGGCGAGACTGCAAAGCAGCCCCGCAAGTGCAGCCATGAGGCTCGTTGATCTTGAAGCGACGGTAATATGCTCCAATGGACATGTGGCCAGTTATACACTGGCAAACGTGAGCGAACTCAGTGATACTGTGTCCGAAGGTTGAAAGCCAAGGTCCCCCATTGAGGTACGATGGCTGTAGCGGCTGCCCGTCAGGCTGTTGAAGCTCTAAGAATTCAGAGCCTCAGTAGGTTGGATCCTGGAAAGTGGAACCCCACGAATCCAGGACTGAGTGTGCCGCTTGGGAGCGTAGCATGTCTATAGAGTTGTCCATCTTGTGATGTCCAACCCTGACTTTGAGTTCGGTGACGTACTTGTGTGCCTCACCGTGGATATCCCACCGCAAAGCAGAGGGAACGTAGATAAAGGTGATGCAGCGGAGATCATCTGCCTCAAACCACTCTTGGAGAACACGACAAACTGACAGGCTAAAAGCCTGACCAGAGTGCACGGAAGGGTCAACCGCTCTGTGGGCCGAGCCCATAGAGTCAGTAAAGACCATAATATGTTGGCAGTTTGCCTGCTTGACAGCAAGGCGCACTGCACACAAGATGGCATTGAGTTCCGCATCTGGGGCGGTGACTCTGCCAGAGACATAACGAGTCCTTTCAAGCTCACGGTGTCCCTTGTAGATGATGGCAGCCGAAGCCGCCTGATACTGATTGGACTGAGGGACAGAGCCATCAGTTGCAGCCAGTACTGTCAATGGGTTGGCCCTTGCTTTCGCGATGAGCTCGTCTAGATATGGTCGCCTATCCTGGGCAGGATCACGCTCGTCAAAGTGGAAACGGTCTGCATAGCGGTCCAGCAACCGATCGCCCGGGCGAGCTTCGGGCGCAAAAGGCTCGAAGCTCTCAGTTAAGGTGTGGACACGTTCGTCCACCTCCATAACGGTGCTCTTGACTTTCCCTCGCACAGCTGGGGTCATCAAGGCAGCTGAGCGGGCATGTGGTGCAGCTCGCTTAAGGAGTCCCTCGCCCGTCATAGAGCAAAGAGGGTGAGTGTCTGAGAGGGTAGCGACGCGATACACTGCACGTGTCGCCAGCTTCTTCAGCATGAGATGAACGGGGATGAGGCCAGCGAGGGCCTCAAGACTGCCTGTGGGTGAGGTGCGGAAGGCACCAGTAATCCATAGAGCAGCTTTTCGCTGCATCTGTTTCAGCTGGTTCATCGCACCCTTGTTACGGGCGCCATCGAAATACCAGAGACGATAACTGTATGTGGCAATAGGCACCACACACAACCGATATAAGAGGCGACACAGTTTAGGCGAGAGACCTCTAGTAGAGTTTCCGAGCATGCGCATGGCCTGCACGGTGGTAAACGCCTTGGTGGCATAGTAGCGTACGTGCTCATGGAATGTGAGCCCGCGGTCAAAGTAGAAGCCCAAGTACCTCCAATAGGTCTTGGGCGTCAAAGGTGTAGTGCCAGTATGCGGGGCGTACCCCAGATCCAGCGAGGGATTGTAGGTGTCTCGTCGACGCGAAAAGTGGAACAACTCGGTCTTGTCATGTTCAAGAACGAGTGCGAAAGCAACAAAAAGTAGATAAATAATCTTTTCGGCCTTATGCAGGCCCACATTATTATCATCGAGTTGTTTGGATTGGGCCAGAATGGTCCCGTCATCCACAAAGGAAAGCAGCGTCGTGTTGAGCGGCACCGCTTTGATATAGAAGAGCTTCATTACCGGAGCAATGAACAGCCCAGAGATAACAGGTGAGAGAGTGGAGCCCTGCCTGACACCCACATCCGCAGACCGTGAGTCGGATTGGAAGGTGTTCCAGCAGTAGACTGTGGAACAACCGACAAGATACGAGGCAAAGAACTCCACCAGAACCACGCCTCTTTCTCTCGAACGCCCACTTGTCAACAAGCGCAAACAACCAGCTCACCGTCTCGCATATCGTCTAGCGCTTTATCGACAGGCCAGAAGATTCCTTTTGATCGTTCGTACCGCATCAGCAAACCATGTCCGACCTCCCACCGAGAGGTCGGGGCGCGAGGCCCCCGGCAGCTTCATGCGTCAGGGGTAGCACCACCAGCAATACCACCATCGGTCGCTGGCTCATCGTCCTTTGGCGGTGATGCCTCGCCAATCTCGCCAGACCCTACCTCGACTAGGGCCACATACTCGACAGTTGTGCCAGCTCGATCTCGCCACACGTCGCCTCGCCGCAGGTCCCGTTCCACCACGGGTTCCGCCCATTCGTCCGCAGATGAGTCTGACTCAGGGACGGCCCAACCCCAGGAGATGGAGGTAGAGGGCACTCAGGGAGGGGAGGAGGTCTCGAGGGACCCCTCCGTCGACCTTCTCTTAGGTCAATACGCCTTGAAGTTCCGAGACACGGTCGAGGATCTTCCTGGTGATCTCGAGGTATTGACCACCTCCATTGCAAAGGCCACAGACTGGGTTCTGCGGGCCGCGCACCACAATCTGCTCACCATCGATGGGGGCGATGCCTTCGTGGCCCAGATGATGTCCTTTGTGAACGCTGTCATGGCCACTGACTTTAGTCGTATTCGCGGACCAGGCGACCTCGACAACTTCTCGCTCGCCTCTCTCCTCGAGGCTGAGACGTCTTCCAAGGACGAGCCGACCATCCACCCGGCTCCCGTATTCAGGCCTCCTCCTCCTGCTGCCCATGGGCCGCTCGACGAGGGTGTCGCTGGCGTAGGGGCCCCGCCCGACGTCCTCATGCAGGCTTTGGACGACCTTGGTCGTCCGGCCTCCCCTCCTCGCATCCCCGCTTCTAAGAAGCGCAAGGGTGTTGATCGCCCGGTCCCACCTCCTCCTCAGAAGAAGAGCAAGGTGGCCTACTCTCGCCCTGGTCCGCCTCCGCCGATCAATCGCGCCACCAAACCCAAGCCCCGTCCAACGACGTGGGCAGGGATTGCCAAACAGGCCGCTCCGATGCCTCCCCCGCCTCCTGGCTTGGGACCGCAACGTCGTGGGCCTTCCCCTCCCCCCTCATTCCCAACGGGTCCGATGAAGACTTCACCTCATCGGTCCGTTCCTTCTTTTACTTCCGAGGGCCCCACCCGGAAGCAGGTTCTCGTGTCGTTCGGGGGTACTCCTCCTGACCTCACGAAATTCTTCACCGAGTCGGCTGTCCGTGCAGCCAACGGGTACCTCAGGGATGGTCGATCTATGCTTAAGGTCACCTCCATCGTTCGCGCCTACGACGGTTTGTCGTTGGTCACCCCCGCTGTTGCCAGTCCGTCCGATCTGGACATCCTCGAAAGCCTCCCGAAGAGTACTCCGTTCGAGGTTGCGCTCCCGTCGTCGACGTCTTTCATAAAGATCCTCGACGTTCCCTACTTCGATCCGAAAGGGTTGAAGATTACCCAGGAGGCGCTTGAGAAGGCCCTCCGTACCTCGGTTCATGCTGAGGTCTTTGCATATCTGAGCACCAAGCCTCGGATCGACCGCAACTCGGCACACTCGACATCGTGTACCGTGTATTGCAACATCTGGGACTCCCAGCAGGGAACCCGCGCCAAGAAGGCCCTTGGCCAACCGATCTTCCTCGCTGGACGGTCCTGTGCTATCAGGCCTGCCGCACGTCACACCGGGGTCCCGCTCTGCCAGCGCTGCTGGAAGTGGGGCCACCCCACCGTCGCCTGCAAGGCGAAACAACTTTCCTGCCCCATCTGTTCGGGTCCACACGAGCAGAAGGAGCACCATCAACATGCGGGATGTTGCAAGGGCAACGCGAAAGCGAAGCCTCCTGTGCCGCCCACCCCTCGCGACCAGCCCTGCCCCCACAAGGGCCGCTGCGTCAATTGCCACAAGGACCACGCCGCCAACTCGGCCTCGTGTAAGTTCTGGGCCCATCGCTACGACCGTGAGTGGATCATGGCCGAGTATCGTCAGGTACGTGAGCACGCTGCTCGCCGCCAACTTACTAACCCCCGAACCTAGACTAATGTTGGGAAACCAGCAGGATCTAACTATATTTACTGTCAGAANCCATACATATGCACACGTAGACACTCTCCTCGAAATTTGTAAAAACAGATTTGATATTTTATTCTTCCAAGAAACGCCTTGGAATTTCATAAGACACGCACCGTCCACCACTAGTATGGAGGGCGATGTATCGGCGCACCAAAGCATCC